GGCTGCAGATGTTTACCCTTTTTACAGCAGGCCTCGTACACCGTGTTTACCCTTTTTGCATCAGGACTTGTGCAATCGCCTGAATGTCCGAGCCCGCATAAGTTCAGCTCTCACGACTGCGCTTCCCCCCCAAACCTTAAACCCCCAAACCCCTAACCCTGAACCCTGGGCCCCTGGGCCCTAAACCCTGCGCCCCGAAACCCTAAACCCTAAGGGGTTATAGTACTTTGTCCCTGTAAAGGTTGCTATAAGGCCTCCCGAGGTTCCTTCGGAAGGGCTACTTGAAGGGTTACCATAAGTGTTATACGGTCGAGGATATAAATCCTGCATCACGCATGATAAGGCCTAAACCCAAACCCTTAACCCTAAACCCATGATAAAGAATATACCCATAATTCCCAAACTTTAGGGTCCCTAAGGTAATGCAGGATTCATAGCAGCAACGGTAGTAAGGGGCTCCCTGCAAGGCAAGGGTTTGCTTTGAGGGTTCCGTGGCTTGGAGGTTCATGGGCAGTTCTAACTGTGGTTATAAGTCCCCTGACATAGGCTATAACTATAAACCCTATAACCCTAAACCCTATAACCCTAAACCCTAAACCCTAAACCCTAAACCCTATAACCCTAAACCCTAAACCCTAAACCCTATAACCCCTAGTTCTTGAACCTCCAAGTGAGGAACCCCGCAGCTGAGACCGGGGCAGCGATGCTTCGAGCTTCCGCTCCTTAGTGAGGTCTTAGGGTTTAGGGTTTATAGGGCTTAGAGTTTATGGGTTTAGGGTTTATAGGGTTTAGGGTTTATGGGTTTATAGGGTTTAGGGTATAAAGTTTAGGGTTTCAGCACTCACACACGGACATGCCAGGTTCAGGGTTGAGGGCTGCAGCTACCCAATTAGTTGGCTCCTAGACATAAATTGTGTAACCCAGCAACACGCTATTCAGGTAACTGGAGTCTTTAAGAGTTTTGATCCGACGTGGTGCGGCTGAGGAGTTATAGGGTTCAGGTCTACAGGGCCTCGGGGCTCAAAGTTTGTCGGGCCGGGGGCTTTAGGGCTGAGGGAACATCCTGTTCGCTTGCGCTTTTCGGTGTATTGAAACAGAGTGGCTTGAAGTTGCTATCCCAATACACTCAGTATAGGCCCAGGCTGCGCAGGCATATGGGAGGAGATGAACGGGGGGTGCTGTGCAGCTTCGAAACGCTCCGTAGGCATCATCCATCCACCTTCTTCTAGATAACAAACGGTTCTGAAGATTTCTTACATCATAATGGCAACTGCACGAGAGGCACGCAAATGCATACGGACTTGCTCAGCTTGGGTACAGGGCCTTAGAAGCTCAGCACGGTCTTGCACAGCACTGAGGAGCTGTCGTTCTCATCGCGTGCACGCGAGATTTCCTCTTCAACTTCTTGCAGGAGTCGGTCCTGTTCAAGAGTTGATCATATTCCAGAATGAAGATCTCTCAGTCCAGAAGTAGATAGGGTGCCAGCGCGTGGGATAACGTTGTTAGCTGATTGGTGTGGGACCGTCCGATAGTGGCATTTTGTCCGTCCTGAGTCGTTTCCGGCGAAAATGTTTTGGGACCCTAGACATGTCAAGTCTTTCCGAGGTTTGCGGGGTGTAACTATTTCATCTATGTGAAACATTCCGAGTATCACAACTCTTACTAGATTTGTCGTTTACCACAGTAAAGACCTCAAGATTCCCATTTCGCGCGCAAACCAATCCCAGTCACAGTTTCGAGTCAAGTGAGGAAACCTCCACTGAGCCTGAAGCCCTAAATCCCTGCAAGTAGCTCCACGAGCCTTCCGGCGCTTGATGCCTTCACTGGTCCCAAAGATGGCTTTGGCAGAGAACCTCTCCACCCGCAATCTCAAGACCCAGTGTGTCACTCGGTCGTTTGCGTAGGGCTTCTTGAACAAGTCTTGCGAGACTGAGTAATTAGGTCGGTTATGCCTATATAAAGCCATCTTCTGTCCCTCTGTCGCAGTTGCCAACATGCAGCTGAAACTATGAAAACAAAAAAAATATATATATATATGTATATTTCTCACAGGAAGATATATTTAAGTGGAGTTGCTGCCTAACCACATCCCCCGATCCGTAAAGCAGGGCCAGGGTCTGACATCCAATGTGCGGCTTAGGATCTTAGCACCTTTGGTGCGGACGGTTTAGGGTTTAGGGTTTGCGGTGGTGTACGTTTGATGTCAAGGGTCCGGGGCTGGGGCTACTCGGAGATGTGGAGGGGCCAACGAAGGTGAAGCAAACATATGGTTAAGGTGCGAGAACGTGAGCTGCAAGCCGAGCCTAATACTTGCATGCCCGAAAACCTGGAGCGAACAACACCGTCAGTGTTTTCAGCAAGTACCTATAGTCTCCATTGTAGTTCCTTTTTTGGTTTAACCAATTTTATATTAAGGATTTTATAAGGTATCCAGTATCCACCAAAAAGAACTACAATGGAGACTATAGGTATATTCTATCCGCATCACAACAACTGAATAGCCGGATGCGGGGTCAAGCTTTGCTGCAGAGTATTCTCAGCCTAAGGGTTCAGGTCAATGTTATCGTAGGGCTTGGTGGATTGGGGCTTCGGCCTACAACCGTGGCAGCATCGGGTCTGTCCTACCGCTGAACCCCTATAGAACCCACTCTTAAAAGAACCGAGAAAGGAATGCTGACAATATGGAACGCATGAAGGAACCCCCACCCAAAAGTCGGAGCGAATCTGTGGACGTTTGGGTGACTAAAGTTTGCACATGACTGCTGCGTTCTACATACGCTGGATCGACTATCCACGACCAGGCAGTGTTGGCACCGTGTGGAACGCCAAGGGGTCACAGTTCATATAGCACGGCAAGATCCCTACCATGGTGATGATCATCGTCATCACCATCAGGAAAACGAAAATCAGACACTACTTATCATCACCAGCACCACCGTTTCATCGCCACCCCATCATCCCCATGTGCATGCTCATACAATCGTCTCACGGTTTCGGCTGCCTGCCGGCATGATGGGCAGACACAGCGATGAATGTCAGCGATGACCCTCCTTGTTGCAGGGTTCTGATCATTTTGCGAAGCTCAGGTTTCCGATGCCCTAACCAACAGCAATTGAACCTAGTATGGTCTTTGGGTCGAACAGCATTCAAAGACAAGTCCGCCGAGCCTGATGAAATAGAAGTGGCTTGGAGTGTTTCGTCCCCGAACCACCCGGGGTTTTGGCTGGAAAATCCAATGCCTTTCGGAACGTATTCTTCCGGCTCCCAAACCCTGAAATGAAGGCGTGCATAGCAGTATATGACCGAGCGGAAGGCTCGTCGTTGGCAGTCTGCGCGGCGACTGCCGCAATCTTCTCAAACTCCTCCGGGTGGTTTCGGGTTTGGGTTTCAGGTTTTTAAAATTCTAACTTTCGCTTCTTTGAGGCTTCAGGTTCATGGGGGACCTGGGAAACCAGGCTTCGGGATGTGGTATCAGTTTAGAGTTTAGGGTTTAGGGTTTTATTGGTTCTGTATATAGGTTTTGGCTACTGTCGGCACTTGGAATGCTTCTCTAAAACCCCGCCTCAAGCGACACGTCCCAAAAAATCGACACACTGCAGAATTCCTAGCATCCGTTACTCACCAAGGTACCTGCCCCAAACGATCGTGTCAACCCAAAGACCTGACACAACCTCGGGCGAAAAACAGAGAAGGGGACCCCAGAGGACTCGGTAAGACTCTTATTTCCATATTTCGCAGCCAGTCTCGTGAGTGTAGCTTCATGGCGTGTTGGATGTCATGGAGCTCTAGGTCCCGGAGCCCCCGAAAACTGGGAGTTGAGGCGGAAGCACCCGGCTTTGATGCTTGCGGACTGCATCTTTTTGAGCTTGTCATGAACACGCAGATGCTGCGGTCGCCTGTGAGACTGAGAAACTCACCCTAACCCCTAAACCCCAGAAAGAAGCTCAACCCTGCACTCTCGCACGAAAGGGCCGCCACCCCCCAACCCTCATCAAATCAACTGAACCAGAGCCCGCAAACACCTGTTCTGTTCTTGAAATGATGGTCCTTGGTGGGGGGGACCCTGACCGTTCTGGAAATCAGCCGATAGCCACCAACTGCAAGGCCCAAGCCTGAAACTCCAAGCTCTTGACCCCCAATGTGTCTCAACCATAGAAATGAGAGCGCCGCAATCATATGTCTCAAACTGCCACACTAGCAGACTACCAGTGCCAGCAACCAGAAAAAAAGTGATGGCATGGGGGTCTCTTTAGCAAGCGGCTTGCCGATCTTACTCCTCACACCAGCCAGAAGCAGAATACATGCTATCCTTCGAGTGCCAGTATGTTGCAACTTCGAACTTGGAAGGAGTTTTGAGAGATCTGGAACCCTAAACCCTAAACCCTAGGGGACCATGCCCTTATCTGAAACCCTTCGCGTGCCTCCTTGCAAACTCTGCTAAGCTGGACCGCGACCCTAAACCTAAACTGAACCACGACTGCATCTAACTACTACTAGTTACATCAAACACATACGCAGCATATGCAAGCTTTCGGATAGGACGTAAGCTCTGCAGCCCAAGGAGCCTGCAGTTTCTGAGGCCTAAACCGTTCAAACAAGCATCTCCAAATGCGGGCTAGGGTTTAGGGCAGTTTAGGGTTTAATCGACGTCCCGGCTCATCTCACTGCGACAGCTTCACCTTCTTCCTTGCAGAAGATGCCACGCTATAGGATCCGTCCAGACCGCCACCTGGGAGCATCCCACGCAATGAAGCCTGGAACCCTACAGCTTGCATCCCAGTTTAACATTCAAGGACTACCCTAAACCCTAAACCCTAAACCCTAAACCCTACAACCCCTACTTCGAAACTTATCCTCAGATGTTAACCTGAATCCCTCAAGCATCAATCCCCAACGCCCCTCAGCTCTCTCTCCCTAAACCCCAGAACCCCCTGAACCCTAAACCCCAGAACTTCCTGAACCCTATAAACCCCAGAACCCCCTAAACCCTAAACCCTACACCCCAGCACCCCCTGAACCCTAAACCTTAAACACTAAATCATAAACCAAAACCCCAAACCCAAAACCCTAAACCCTAAACCCTAAACCCCGGACCCTGAACCCTAAAAACACAGAAACTGCTCAAGTGCCAAGGAGGAGACTCAGGCTTGCCAGCGAGACCTGCACGGTGCAGGATAAGGTTTAGGGTTTAGGGTTTAGGGTTTAGGGTGTAGGGTTTAGGGTTTAGGGTTTAGGGTTTATAGGGTTTAGGGTTTAGGGTTTATAGGGTTTAGGGTTTAGGGTCTTACCCTCTGCTTCCAGGGACCTTATTATTGAGTCCTTAAGGGGTCTAGGGCCCTAACTATAAGGTCCTTGGGGTTTAGGGTTTAGGGTTTACCTGCAGTCTCCAATGTAGTTCCTTGTTTTGGTTTAACCGAATTTATATTAAGGATCCTAAAAGGTAACCCCCCAAAGGAACTACAATGGAGACTATAGGTAGGGTCTTAGTTTGCTGAGTTCATAAGCTCAACGACGTGTACACGTTCAGTTCTGTGGGGAATGATATTGTCCCACAAAGCGTAAAGTGTACTCACTCGCACTAAGGTGTTTACAATTTAAAATGTAGCCTGAGCTTAGGCCTTTGCTGGTCAAGTTCGGGCTTTGGGTTTAAGTAACGGCTAAAGTTGAAGGAAGTAATTAACCGTCTTCACGCTGGTTAATAATTAGAATAGGGTTTTGGGGGGTTCCTTGTTATTGTTGTAGTATAATATGCCCCAAACCCAATTCTGATTATGAAGGCCCCTATACTATGCCTGAAAACCCTCTGTGCAATGGAGACGGTGCCAACAGCTATTCAACTCGAGACCCTGATCTCTCGAGCCCAGAAACCTGAGTGCAGGGGGCCTTCATAATCAGAATAGGTGCGCGGAGTATAATATAGGGGCCTTAATAATTAGCATAGAGCTTTCGGGTGTATTATACTATAATTGAAATAAGGAACCCCGAAATAGCGTAGGTACTTATTAAGGACCCTATATTACTGTACTTTAATCGTGTAGGGACATTAGCAATCATCCTGTCCCACCCGCGTCTCTCCGTCTTAACTGTGGGATTTCTGGAATGTGGACCCTCAACCCTAAAACCTAAACCTCGGCCGGAAACCCCAAAACTCTGATGGCTTGCGATGAAGTTTTGGGAGCCCTACCTATAGTCTCCATTGTATTTCTTTTTTGGGGATGCCTTCTAACATCCTCAATATATATAATGGGCGGAACCAAAAAAGAAACTACAATGGAGACCATAGGTAAACCGTAAACCCGAGACTCTGGACTCCTTCTGCGATCCGGATTGTATGGAAACCTGGCTGACTGGCATCTTCGAATGGGATCTTGGGGGAGATCAGAATGCCAAGTAGGGGACTGACTCTATAAGTGGTATGGTATGACTCCCAATGTCTAAAAGCTTAAAAACCCATAGAATTCAAAACGCCCCCAGGAGGCCGTTGCCAAACCCCCATTTTGAAACCCTCGGAAAGCCTGTACGTAAAAAAGCTCCCAAATCGAGGCTCGTCGGACTGCAAGCACCGAAGATGTTACCCTGTGATAAAGCAAGAAGCTGTCTCATGAAACCCTACAGAGCTACGTAAGATGCCGAAAAAGAACCATATTAATGTGGTTGTGACGGGTGGGAGTTTAGGGTCTATCGGGCTTCTATAAGGCTTCTATAAGGTATATAGACCTTCTATAAGGCTCCGATAACGGTAACTACACACCTGAAAGTGTCCTACCTTAAGGGTCTAAGTACGTAATAATCATATACTCTCCCAAATACTAACCTACATAACTACTATCCGTAGCCCAAGTACATGATTATTGGGTCCTTTGGACCCTTGGGGCTAGAATGTGGGAATCCCTCTGCGACCCACCTTCTGCTCGGAGGACTTTTGGCTGCGCTCGGGGTCCCTGTCTTCCCCGTCCCGGGTGGCTGGTGCCGGCGGCGCGGCATTGTTGCGGCCTAAAGGAAGGCTTTGGGTTTCAGATTTGGATGAGCTTTAGGGTTTAGGGTTTATAGTGTTTAGGGTTTATGGGTTTAGGGTTTGTAGGGTTTAGGGTTTATAGGGTTTAGGGCTTATAGGGTTTCGGCGCTCACACTCGGGCCCTATACGGTTTAGGGTTTAGGGTTTCTAAGGGTTCAGGGTCCAGGGTGTGGGGCGATGCCCAAGGAGAGGCTCCTAAACACTCAAGTCAAAAGCTCCTGAACCACAATAGGGTTTAGGGTTTAGGGTTTAGGGTTTAGGGACCCTAAACCCTAAACCCACAAAACCTACAAGCCTGCCTACAGTCTCCATTGTAGCTGCTTTCTTTCATGCCTTGCTTTGATGTCATAGGTTCCTAACCATAAAGCTGGCTAACCAAGAACTGAACTGTAACGGAGACTCTACCCCTACCACCCTTTTTGCAACAGGCCTCGTTGCCTGTCTAGCCAAAGACATGCCCCCTTAACCTACAGCATTTTTTGAGCATGGGCTTGGGGTGTATACCGGCAAGCTGGAATCTTGGGGTCTTCTCAAGACACCAGCAAACTTAAACTTAGGGACTGAGTGCCCTAGCCCAAAAAAGGTTAACCTTTGGAATTATAGTAGGATTATAAGAGCCCCAAAAGGTTAAAGGTCACCTACTCAGCCCCTAAGTAAACCCTAAACCTAAACCCGAAGCATGCCCAAACCCACATGGACTTCTGACACGGGGCTGGCAGGCGCAGGGGCCTCTTGCAAGCTGCCTTGGCTTTCAGGGTTTCATGGCTTCTCTTTCAGCCCTTTTTGCCCCAAAGCTCTAAGCCCTGGACTAAACCCTTAACCCCAAGCCCCGAAATCCTAAACCCTCTGTCGGATTCCGGGTTATTAGTTGACTGCTGGGTTTAGGGAAGGTTTAGGGCTTTGGCTTCGAAACCCGAAGTCATTGACTTGCTTCAGGGTGACCAGCATTGGTTTAGGGTTTTGGGGTTTAGGGTTTTCGGGCTGACAGAGACTCCTAGAAATTGAAATGTGGGACAAGGATGATCAGTGAGGAGACTTACTGCAATTTACTTTCTTGGCTTGGTGCTCGAGTTCAATATCCCTCGGTCAGAAAGGAATACTGGACCCCGGACCCCGAACCCTTATGTAGTCCCGCAAATATAGGACTGACGATCCCTGCCATAACCCTAAGCCCTAATCGCCCTAAGCCATATAAGCCATAAGCCCACCACAAACGCAAAGCTTTTTTTGTTGGGGGGGGAGGGTTGAAACGTTTCGGGGCGTGGCACTACATCCACCCTAAACCCTAGACTCTAAACCCTAGACTC